TCATGTCCGTAATTACTTTTTGATATTGTGGCTGTTAGATTCAAAAACACGAGTTGTTTACTTCTCCCTAAATTTTCAAGATTTGGGGGTGTCTAGGTCTTCTGCTGTGTCCACCATGACGGCAATTGCGTGATGTAAACAAGCCTACGCAGCTCCGATGGAAATATCGAGGATGATGACGACATTCTAAATACTCGAATACACTCGCGGAATATCAATAGGATCTTGAAGATGTAAACTAACAACAAATTCATAACTAGGTTATTGCTGTAGGAATGTACCAATGTCGATTTTCAAATGTGGTTTGTTTATAAACTAGACGACCGATTTGCGTACTGACTCACACAGTCATAGTATCACAAAACAGCACAACCTTTGACATAGGAGGGGAGGAAGGCAGGGTCGGAATAGCTTATTTAGAGTTTTCGGAGCTTAATATCCCGGTTATCGCTCTACCAGTGAACTTTAAGCATCTTATATGAGTGTGAAACATGGACGAGTACAAAAGCCTAATACAAACTTCAAGTTTCCGTGAGTTGACATCTACATATGGTTATATGAATATTTTGGGCAGGAACAATATCAAACGAAGAACTGTGCTGATCAGGGATACAAAAATGGAAGTTATATAATAAAAAAGAGGTCACATAGATTACTACGGAAAGGAATGGACCAGTAGTAGCTAGAATTGACATAGACTGGAGCCCTTAAATCTTTCAGCAATATAGGAAGACTTAAGCTGACATGAAGAAAAATGGTGATAGATGAGGCAAGGCGAATGGGAAAATCAAAGAGACAAATCAAAGCCCCTGCGGAACAATGGATCAGAGAGGCCCTATGTTCCTCAATGGAATGACGAGATCAGTTGCCGAGTCAAATGGCTAGGGTTCCATCGATTACATTCTTGGGTAGTTTTCAGTGCGGATATGCACGATAACTTCGGCATTGTATAAGATACGGTATCAAACATGTTTTTTGAAAAAATGGTTGCATATTATATGAAAGTTATTATTAGCTTTTAAAAATAATTCTTGTTCGAAAGGTTCAACAACAATGAAGTTATCGAGCAGCGAAAAGTTCACAAACCCAAGCATCAAGTTTTCACTAGTTCAGAGAGGGATTACAAGCATTGCGCAAAGATGAGATCCAACTGATTGGACATTGAGAACTGCCTCCTAGCCAAATGTCAGACTATTCTTAACAATGACCTTTTGACATGTCTAAACTTGTTGTGTAGGCGTATGTTATAATATCTAAAAGTAGCGGCGACTCCGGGACAGTCTTAAGCTTTCTGCTGTTATTATAGAAATGTCAATTGATATAGAATTAAGGAAAATACTAATGATTCTTAATTTCTCCTTCCCAAAAAATAAACAGATAATAAATAGATAGCAAAAAACAAAAATGATCTATATTATCCACTTTGTCTGGATCTAGACCCCAGGGCATAGTGAATACACATCACAAATGGTTAAGGACTTGATTTCATACAAAGTATGATCTGTACTAAGCAAAACAACAATGAACTATCCCGGATTTTGGAGATTCTTTAAGACTCCACTGACGCTCTTTCTATATTTATGTTCTATCTGTACCAAAATACCAATTATATATTCACTTAGAATAAAAATAAGCTTACGTGCGAATACAGAATCCACTTTGAGCTATCCGCTTTGACAGAAATCAGAGTTTAAGAGAACTAAAACCACTGACTCAACTCTTCTCATTTCTATGACTGAGAACATTCTTATGTTACCTTAAAAAAGACACTCATGCACAGTACAAAATTTCAAAATCGATATTTTTCCAGAAAAAGACACATTTTGTTATCTGGTAGGCCAATAAGCTCGAGAATCACCTAAAATTGATTGCCAATTGTTGAACAAGGTTTAACAGATATGGCTGTGCCTTTCCACAATGGACGATTTATGATTTGGTTTGTATGTCAAATGCAAATTTCTCATTACCCAGGAAGTTCGCTTTGCCTGCGCTTACTCTATTATAACATCTCACAAAACCACCTTGTTTAAAACAGGTTGATGGAAATGGTCGCATCCTCTTTAGCTATAGGCTGGAGGAAGGAAAAGAGAAACGGCCAATGTTCTGACGCTTGTTAAAGCGGGATTTTCTTTCGTCTCGAAAACGCCAAAGTTAAGCTCCGAGGATAAAGCTGAAGCGAAGATTTATCTTGATCAACTGCGCGTACGGAGTATGCATGTATTTATTATGAATGAGATTATTTTGGAAGACGGAAAATTTCTGAGGCTTACACTTTTATAGTTTCACCTGCCAATCATAAACGAGTGAGCATTTTGATCATAAGGTTACGATACGCCATTTTCACATTCTATTTAATGCTACTCAAAAAGAAGGTTGCCCGAAAAAGTGTTGGGGAAGTTTTGAAGAATCTGTACGCCCAAACTATACATCCTATAAAAATCTTGAGTGAATAAGTTGTAAGAAATTTCTTCTAGTTTGTCGAAGACTATTTTTTGGAAGAAGTATGCATAAATAAAGATTATGTGATTTATTGAAGATTAAGATTATATTATTAGATAACGCACAATCTACGCCCCTTTTAGACGCTATTTTTCCAATGTTACGGAGCAAGCAGGAAATATACGAGACTGCAAGGCACATATTCGGGAAGAGCCCATCAAAATCTGTGATTTTTAAAATGTCCCCAAGATATGTGTTTAGGTAAATGCATGAAATTATTGAAACTATGAACGATTTCCCATAACTATACACCCGCATTGAAAGGAGAGCGGAGTCTCATGGAAAAACATGGGGATTAAGCCTTTCCATGATGCACTGGATGTACATAATGGTAGTAAGGCCCATGATAACCTATGCATCTGTTGTTGTGGCCAAATACGGAACCATGCTTTGCCATTGCAGAATTAAGCAAGATACAAAGACTTGATTTGCCTGTCGATAACCGGTACAATTGAGAGCCCTCCAACAGCAGCACTTGAGACTATGCTGGACCTCCCACCGATAAAATTTGTAATAATAGGGAAGACAAGAATGGCCTACTCTAAACTACGGTTACAGTCAAACGGAAGATATGAGGACCTTGGTCATATTAAAATAAGGAAACATGTGCTCCGAGGAAATATCACGTAGTTCCCAGATATGTATTAAAAAAAACTTCGAGACCTAAAAAGAGATCGAACGAAACAACAAACGTACAACCTGCAAAAGGAAATTACCTGGTACACAGACGGGTGAAAAACTGGGCAGGAAACAATCTTGAATTGCGCAAAAGTACACTCATAAGCGTACCTAATGGGCGTATATTAATAGAAGGATCGCCATATACACTGGCAGTCAGGTGTCACTCATAGTGTTAACAAGCCCTTGAGTGACATCTGCATTGATCTGTGAATTCCAACAAGAACTGAACACAATGCCAAAAATCAGCACGATAGAAAAGTTAGGCGCAGGGTAATGTCGCAGCGCAATGGCAGTCGGTCTTTCTGGACGCTGGCCAGGCAGATTGAAATGAACTTCTCACACAGTAGCCTTCCACCACTTACGTGTCAGGATGGAACGATTGTATCTCAAAAGTCAAGGCGGAAGTGCCTGCCAAGATCTTTGCTGCCAACTTCACCATGGACGTCCGCTCCAGCGCCCAAATGCCGTCAATTCAAAGGGTTCCCTACACTATCGGTGGTTTGCACCGCTTTGAGTTAAAGGTGAGGGTTATTTAACTTGGAGTTAGCGGTAACCCCAGGTTAAATTCGAATAGCTTTGCACAGTCAAGGTGTAACTCTGGGTTTATAAACCCTGACTTTTGGTCATGTTGGCAAGTTTGGAATATAGGGATATTTCTCAGAATTAATACCTTTATTCGCACTATTGCCACAAAGGCTAGTTCTGTGCTAAACGTTTGTTAATATGTGCTGGGATTTGAAAGATTGACGTAAATTTTGACATTTTAGTACTTGTGTTTTGTATTCAGTTTCTTTCCTATTTTTTCCATTATCGTTTGTGTTTGATTTGGCTGGATAGGTATATATATATACTATTTGTGATTCTATTTGGAAGTTGGAATTTTGAACATATTTTTCGCTGTGGATCGACAAGTCGCATCATACAGCCGACAGCA